TTACTGCTTCTTTAGAAATATTTTTATTGTCTTATTCCAAAGAATTACTTTTTTTAGGGCTAACACTAAATAGTTTCCTATGAAAGTTCTATTGTTACCGAGTAGTATGGCAAAGAAAAAAATAGTTATCTAGATGTAAGTTTGTTAAAAGTTTTTCTTCTCATTAACTTTGCTTCTACATATGAAATAATACTGGTTAATTAATTTTGGTCTGAGCTTCTGAAGCCTTTTTTAGTACACAAATAATATTCTCAAAGTTTCTTGAAACATTTTTATAATACTAAGATGTTCCAACTGCTTACCTTAAGTTTCATATCTGTTGCTCATTCTCAGAAGCATCCCCTGTAATTGTAGCAATTTTAGTAGAACGATATAGTAGTATTTGGCAAAGAGAAAAATAGTCATAGATGTAAGTTGTTAAAAGTTCTAGTTCTATGGAAACTTTGGTACAATGTATGTATTTACTTATGTTGAGTTTCATAGTTGTTGTTTTTTTAACTTAAGACTAAACACACTTTTATATTTCTATCTAGTTAAAATTTATCTCTCCTCTCCTTATAAACACATTCAAAAGCTGTATGTGATGATAGGATTTCAGATCCTTTTCGCTTTGACCCATTTTACGATACTCAAGACTGCAACTGCCTCGCTTTACTTTTGGTGTTGGACATCTTTCAAGGCTAAAACTAAAATGTTTACTGGTACACTACATTTCTAAAGTAGTGAGGATGACAGTAACAAACACAAATTTGAAGTCATAGTTTGCCTGATTTGTTTATTTAATTACTTAGCTGACAGAAAAGTTTTCTAGCAGATTCAAATTTATCTTGCACCATCTTCATGGAAACAAATAACAATGAGGTTTGCTTCTGCTACTGTCCTGGAATCAGAGAAAGGAGACTTTTAAATCACTTTCCAATTTTTTTAAAGTGTAGCTCAAGCTACAAGAAGAAGAACAGATAAAATCATAGTTTGGTATGTTTTACCTTTACAGATGAGCTAGGACAGGGTTTGAACCAATGTATTTGATTCTATGTCTTGAGTTAAACAGTATTCTGAAGAAACCACTCACCTAAAAAAACAAAATAGAAT